AAGGGTTAATAATATATAGGGGTGTATATAAAAATACCCCTTTCTGTCTCATTAGAGATCTTTGCCAGAAGCTCAAGGAAGCAAGGTGAATGGTTAGAGTTAGGACCCACCTGGGGGGGGTCTGCCTTGACATTGGCAGGTGGGCTTTTACTCTCATGGCCATTGGAGGTAACTAAAAAACCTCCATTTGTTTAAAAATACATAGGGATTAAGGAGAGAGCGCAGGTAACTTGTTTTTCTTTGGTTTTTACTATATATTGGGGTTGATGTGTACTGTAGTCATTGCTGTCGCCCAGTGATTGGAGTGAGCGCAGGACTTATCTTTCTGCATGTGTGTAAGTTATGTAGTCTGTGTAGGGAACATGGTGTGGTGCAGTATAGAGATGTAGTGTGTAGATTATGCAGTATGTGTAGGGAACACGTTGTGGTGTGGGATAGGGATGTCGTTTGTATGTTTGTAGGTTATCACAAAACAACAATAGCTCAGCAGTAGCTACATAGCTAAGTAATAAACAATATGTAATAAGGCAGCAACCCTAATGAAGGGAACCCCTCAAACCCTTCAACAAATAAGGAGAGCAATACACAAAGGATGGGGTAGGGCTGCGCCAATAAAAGTCAGATAGTCCAAAATATAAAGTCTCACTGGAACAGCAATAGAAGGTTAGGGATACTTGGTAAAATGTAGATAAATGAACTCTTCAGTAGAAATGAGTGAATCTGGATATCTCAGGATGTTCGTATATATATGGAAACAAAAGAAGAGACAGAGGCAACTAATAGTGCAATAAGTCTAAAATCCAAGATAAAATGTGGTAGGAAGACGTGGAAAACTCACATTTAAAAAAGCTATGGCCAGCTCTGGTGTTAAGGGCGTACAGCGGTATACCACTTATGAGATATTAAGAAAGAATGCGTCCATCAGCAACGTCCAGTTTTCCAAGGCTCCAAAGGGGAATAAAAAAGCAACAATAGTGCTCCTAATTGTGATAAAATTAAATAAAAGTAGATAAAATTATACCCTGTAGGTTATGTAGGGTGTGTAAGGCACATAGTGTGTGGTGGCCTAGGAATGTAGTGTGTGTAGGGCACAAAGTGAGGGGTGGGATAGGGGTGTAGGGCACATAGTGTGGGGTGATAGGGATGTAGTATGGGTAGGACACATAGTGTGGGGCGGGATAGTGATGGCAGAGTGAGGGGGTGACAGGTGGCAGAGCGTGGGAGGGAGTGACAGGTGATGGAGCGTGGGAGGGAGGGGGTGACAGGTGACAGAGCATGGGAGAGAGGGAGTGACAAATGGCAGACTGAGGGAAAAAGGGGTGACAGGTGGCAGAGTGAGGGAGTGACAGGTGGCAGAGTGGGTAAGGGGGTGACAAGTGGCAGAGTGAGGGGGTGATAGTGAGGGAGTGGGGACTGGTGACAGAGTGACTGTGGGAGGGGGTAACTAGTGACAAAGTGAGTGGGTGACTGGTTACAGAGTGAGTGAGGGAGGGGGTGACTGGTGACAGAGTGACTGAGGGAGGGGGTGGCAGAGTGAGGGAGGTAGAGTGAGGGTGAGGGTGACTGGTGACAGAGTGAGAGAGGGGATGACAGGTGGCAGAGTGAGGGGGTGGCAGTGAGGGAGGGGGGACTGGTGACAGAGTGACTGAGGGAGGGGGTGACTGGTGACAGAGTGAGGGAGTAACTGGTGACAAAGTGAGTGGGTGACTGGTTACAAAGTGACTGAGGGAGAGGGTGACTGGTGCCAGAGTGAGTGAGGGAAAGGGTGGCAGAGTGAGGGAGGGAGAGGGTGAATGGTGGCAAAGTGAGGGAGAGCGTGACTGGTGAACTGCACACTGTGCTGGCTGTCTCCCCGGGCAGACGGGAGGGGCCTCGCACCCGGCGACACACAGGGCAAGCCGCCCGGACCCCACCCAATGTCGGGTCCTTGGTCATGGGCAGAGGACCTGACAAGTCACTTTGCCCTAAGGCACTCTGCTACTAGCCTGCAGCAGAGCTGAAAAGATAAAATAACTACCTGCACGGCGCCTGGAACTGCTTTAAAACAGAAAGCTCACCTCAATTTAAAACAGAGCATACACAGAAGAAATAAAAAAATGTTAACGTGGAGAGAATGACAGGTCCTGCCAATGTCATTGCCAACAGATCTGAGTGACTTTGACAAGGGCCAAATAGTGATGGCTAGACGACTGGGTCAGAGCATCTCCAAAATGGCAAGTCATGTGGAGTTGTTCCTAGTATGCAGTGGTTAGTACATATCAAAAGTGGTGCAAGAAAGGACAATTGGTGAACTGATGTCAAGGCTCATTGATGGAGATGGAGATGGGGAGCAAAGCCTAGCCAACATGGAGAAATACCACCAACTTGGACTGAAAGTTATAGTGATTGACTGGACAGTTAGATTCACAGATAAATTATAGACCTATATTAAAGGGACATGCATCACTTTGAGACAACTGTCTCATTCAAAAGTTTTAATTGCCTCACTCTGCAGGCTGAAAAAAAGCTAGTAAATATATTTTTGTTCATGTTTATCTGCTTCTTCTTCTAACCTATCAGTGTCTTATCCATAGGAATGCTGGAAAAGTGTGTTGGTCATGCTTGACAGTCACACATGCACAACTGGAAGATGTATTCACCTTGCAACATCATGATGGAGAGATGAGAGGGAGTCTGATCCATGTGATTCATGCAGAACAGGCTTCTGTGTCATTTTTCTCTCTTCGTTAGTCAGTGCAGAGAGAATGAGGCGCTTGCTGCTCTTACATAATAATGTTCTGTTGGTGTCTTTAGTCAAGTGATTTGTACTGGATTAGTGGGTGGGTAAAAGCGGGGGAGGCTGAAGAAATTGCCTTAGTTGAGAGGTGTGCCCAACAACAATCTGAATACATTTATACTACATTTTTAAATGTTTATTTATACACATCGTCCAGGGCACGCATCGGACTCGGGATGTCTGGAGAATACAGTTCCAGGGGCAAGAGGGAAGAACCGGAAGGAACCCATTAGCAGGCCTTTAAAAGGAAAGAAGAGGAATGTTGAGGCTTACACCAACTAAGCAAGTCCTGACGTTGGGTTGAAACGCGTTTTGGACACTGTGACAAACCAATTTTCTTTGGACTATTTTATATTTCTTATTTTGTTTTTATTTTGAATATTTATTAGTTAATAACAAAGATTTATCCTTGATCAAGACCCAAGGTTTCTTCATATCCATTATTGATGGGCATTTCATTATCTGGAACCACATGAGAGCATTACTTGGGCAGCATACCTGTAACCTATACTATATCATGCTATGTGCTTTCTCCTTTCATTGTAGCTGGATAATATCAAGGAGAAGTGGGACTGGGGATATCCTACTAATCCCTCGTATTTAACATCTAAGCCATATGTTGTTGTCTCTACACCTGTGAGAGCTACTGCTACAATTATCCTTATATATAATTACTGTTCTTGCAATACTATTATTATTATTATTATTATGATATTTATAGAGGATTTGGCAATAGATTGAACATGAGGCTTAAAGGAGAGGTCGGAGTCAAAGAGAACACTTAGGCAGCAAGCCTGCGTGGTGGAGCTGATGGTAGCACCATTGACCACACTAGCTTCGTATTTTTTTGTGTACTGTTCTAGATTTATTGCTACAACTACAGTTTTAGTTGCTCCACCTTATGTATGTATGATTTTATATTGCTTTGTTGTGGTTTTGGGGATTCCACCCAGGTGTTTGAGCTTGTACTGTAAGTTTGCACTTTACAATTGTTCTCGTTTTTTATCCACACTCTTTTCTGGCTCATCACTGAGCAAAGCACATTGCACAGACTCCCATTGTTGACTTCTCCTCCAGTCTTTATCCTGACCTCTTCTGCATGGAGCCACATTGCTGGCTTTCAACAGGGGGAACTCAGTGGTGGACTTGATTTCAAAGGGTTTGCAGAGGGTGCCTGCAGTATAATGTTTTGTGAATACTATTTGGCACCGTTAGGCCTACAGTTAGTAATATAAGTGGTTCTTGGTGGCTCTCACAATTGCTCTGTGCAGATTTGGAAAATTATTTTACAAATGAGCTAAATTGGACGGATAGGATTATTGTAGCTATATGTTTTACATTGTAATAAATGTACAAGGTTTATCCTCGTACATTAATTACGATTTTCATCATAAGAGTTTTTAAGTTGACTCTTTTACCAGTTTTCTTAGAGCCATTTTTAGGAGATAACTCCTCTTTTTCTCTGTTTGTTTCACCAGATAAGACATTTCTCCCTTTTGGTTTAGTTTGTTTGGTATATGGTTTACATCTTTACTATATACTGTTATACAAGACAATATTTTTTCCTGCTTCCCACAGCCCATCCATAAACCGAGCCTGACTGACTCCTCATCTTGATATTGTCTATCCACCGTAAACTAGCTTGACATCTGAACAACATCACCTGCTTATGTTTAAATCTAAATTGCCCCCCCCACCTCCCCCCCACCACTCTATTTCTTTTATGCTCAAATAAAGCACCATTTATTATCTTCCAACTGTATCCTTTTCTTCTCTGCTCTATTTAGGCGTACTATTCACTGGAATACTGCATTGATTCTCTTCTTTTGTTGCTATTACTTGAGCAAAAAATATTAGGTAACAAAATAACCGATAAGACTTGTGTTTTATCCTCTGTTACAAGCATAGATTAAAAGGAACTGATAAGACACTTTTTTTCCATCACATTTCAGATGCCATTTGTTGTAGGAAGGACACGTTTCCCAACGAAAAACCAAAAAAAAGATTTAATATCAAAGCAAACAAGACAATTTGTTGTTGTTGTTTTTTTTTCTCTTTTTTTTATTACGTTATATAAGTTGGGCAGTAAAAACAAGTTAGTTCATATCATTCGGGGATGAATAACATTCCAAATACTTTAAAATAAGGCATACAGTAATTTAATTAAATATTATCAAATAGCAGCTTTTAAATGACTCAAAGACAATCAGGAGCTTGTGTTTTGGTAAAATGTCCCTTAGATCCACTAAAATCAGCTTTAGAGCATGCTGCAGTTCCAGACCAATTGTTTTTGTCTTGCCAAAATCATTATATCCTGCTTAATGCTATTGCCATCTACTCAAAGCAATGGCTCGGCCAATATATTACTCCATAAAAGGAGTGATTAAAATGTATAGAAGCGTTTTTTGCTTTTATGTCAATGAGTATTTGAAATCAGTGCTTATATAACATGACCACAAGAAATTAACAAACAAGGAGGAAAAAAAAGAACGTTTTTATTTTTCCTCATAGTTTGAGATGTCCAAAGTATTAGACGTGAAGCTTGTAATTTACTCTGAAAAAATATTAAAGTTACTCAAGGAGGACTCTGGACAACATAATAATCGTAATAAGTGATTATGGTGCGCAAAGTCCTCTGCCTTGTAGTTTCAAACTGTATTTGAATGGTTTAGCACTGACATAGTGTTGCCATGTCCTGCCTTTTCTTTGTGGTTCCTATTTTAATCATAAGAGCAACTAAATAATTATTTCTCTTACCAAAGATAGCGTATCTAACTGTTTAGAACACAGGCTGCATTAGAGATCAGTAGTTTGAGGGATTTGCCCATAGCTGCCTAAAAAGAAAATCCAGGCTTTACTGGCCCTTTAAATACATATTTTCTGTTTTAATAGAACAACATTTTCACACAATGAATGACATACCTTCATTGATCTTAAAGGAAAGTTCATATACCATAACCACTACAACATACTGTACTGATATTGTGGAATGAGTGCCATGGAGCAGAATTTTCCGTCCAATCTTCCATATTCTCCATGCAGGAGATTGAGTGCAGTCCTGTAATGGCTGGCATAGGCTGCAGAGGCACTTACTGCTTTTCCTGCAGGAGTAAACTGTATATGGAGACAGCACCCAAAGGATCCAGGTAAGTTGTCAAACTGTTCTAAAATGGTTTCACAAATTACACTGGGACAGTGTTCCGGTACAATAGCCACTACCGCAGACTGAAGTGGTGATGGTGATTGGAGTGTTCCTTTCATTAAAAAAACTCATTCTGTTACTAAAGATGACTACTTGTTCTCTGTTCATTCCTCTTAACGAAGAGCTCACCATAGAATTGCATTTTAAAAAATCTCTATATATTTGTGCAATGTATTCCTTGAAAACACGTTTTCCATACTGCAAACAAAATGATATTTTCCAACCAATCTCAATAACTAAGAAGTATTTCTGCATTGACGTTTCATAGATTGTCAGGCTTCTGAGCTAGATGAAAATAGCATATCTACACACCTTAAAATTGAATGAACTCTCCAACCTTCGCAATAAATAGACTATGTTGTTTAAGTTAGTTGTGTCCCTTTACTACTTTAGTCTCAGGTCATTATAGTAAAAAAAAAAAAAGCAAAACAAAATACATTTAAACTCACCTTCAATCCAGCGCTAGGACACTTTCCTCTCGTCATTCTAACAGCATCAATACAGATGAGGCTTTTCACAGACATGCATAGATCTTCAACGCTTTTGTATGTGAATAACTGGATTGGGATCATTTGTATTGATACTCTCAGAAGAGGTGGAACATCTACAGCAAGTGGAATGTCCCAGTACAGGATTGCAGATGAGTTTTGACCTTAGTAGTAAATGCAACTGCAATGCAGATCTACTGTATTAGGTTATTTAAGTACCACACCTTATCAGCACTTCATGAAAAGCAGGCAATAAAGCAGAAATAAATTATGTGTCTCATCCTGCTATTTGTCCTAAATTTTGTGAATTTAGCAGAAACGTCCAAATTATAGCAAATTAAAATGGAAATGGCAAAACCCAGTTGTATCGACGGCTCAGTTTTATACATTAAAGGAACACTATAGGGTCAGGTACACAAACATGTATTACTGACAGTATAGTGTGAACACCACTATCTGGCTCCCCTAACCCCCCTACATATAGCAAAACATTACTTGTATTGCAGTCTGCTACTGCTGGCTCTGCCCCTGATCTGCCTGCTTGGCTGACACCATCAGAAGTGTTAAACAAAAGCTAATCACAATGCTTTCCCATAGGATTGGCTGAGTCTGTCAAGGAGGCAGATCAGGGGCAGAGCCAGCACAAGCTAAACATAGCCCTGGCCAATCAGCAGCTCTTCATAGAAATGCATTAAAACTATGCATTCTATGAGGAATGTTCAGTGTGTGGAGACACTGAATGGCAGTGCTGCTCACTGCAGCACTGCCCCAGGAAGCACCTCTCTCAGCCATCTGAGGAGGGCCAGTGGAGGTATCCCTAGGCTGTAATATAAACACTGCATTTCCTCTTAAATGACAGTGTTTACTGCAAAAAGCCTGAAGTGAATGAGTCTACTCAACAGAACAAATGCAATAAGCTGTAGTTACTCTGCTGACTACAGTGTCCCTTTAAAGTGAGAATTGTTATAGGTATTTAAAGTGAATGCAATGTGAATTTAAAATGTAATAAAATAACTGATATGAAACAAATTGTCTAATCAGCTATGCTTCCAGTTCAGCTATTTTTGTCTAACATTTGAAATTCACTTTGATTTCACATAGATTTGCCAATAATTCCCAATTTAGTAAATGACCCTGAGCTAAGTTAAAATATATATTTTTTCCAGATGTACCAATGTGTGAATTGTTCAAAAATTCAAAGTGAATCTAAAATATTATTCCACACTAGCAGAACTGTACATTTTTTTCCAAGCCAGTTATAGTTTCAGTTAGACTATTTTGGTCTACATTTTCAATTCACTTAAAATTTCTGGAAATTCGGACTTTAGTAACTAGCACTGACAGTCTTCATTTCATTGTAATTTGCTGTTTCGTGAATATGCTCAAGATATTTTGCAAATATTCGCAATCATTCTGTCTAGTGAAAACATTATAGTAAAAAAAAATAATTGGAACAGCTGTATGAAAGATAATGCCCTTGAATTTGCATTTCATTATAATTTACACTTAATTATTTTGGTTTGTGTGAGGTTGAAAAATATTATTAAGTTATTTTATTAAAATTACTAAAACTTTCAGTTATATAACTTGGATATTTAAAAATAATGCATTGAATCACGATCCTCCTTTAAAGATTATAATTATTTTTAAATTAATGGTTTTACAGGCAATTATTAGCTTCACATAATCATTGTCTAATTAAAATGAGTTGAAAACCATCCGATTCAGTGTGGGTTGTAGCTAGGAACAGGAAAACTATTGACTCTTCAGTACTCTAGGAGCTATAGACTCTGACTCACGTAATCCTCAGCCTAATGACTTCCTGAGATTCACTGGAGTTAGGGTTCCGTGAAGGTGGTGCACCAAAAGTTGCTTAATTCAGTTTTAAATGTAATATCTGCAATGCATGGCTACCCTTAGCAATTGCAAGGACCTGGGAAGCCGATTTTGCAGTGTCTCACTCATACAAAAAAACCCCCCTAATATGTGATAATCCACGTGTATATATATATATACCCGCTCATAACTCACGGCTCAGAGCGTTGTATTTGATTAGTCAGTTTGCCATCTCCTTGTTTTTTCGCCCCTGATGACATCGTGTTTATACTCTGAAACACACGTCAGGCTTTTCTTTCTTTTAATTTACCACCATATTTGGGTAGCACTTTTACTATACTCTCATGTTTATTAGGAATTAAACAATTTTCATCAGGGCTAGTGGTTTAGGTAGGCACTTGTAGTTTATTACTATGGTTCCTAGGTAATTAGGGACTGAGGAGGAGGATGCACATTTTCTTTCTTATAAATATTTTTTTAGTCCGTATGGGGGACCTAACAATCATGCCACTTGCATCGTTTATGATGCCCAAAATGTGCAGTTCTACCCAGAAAGATGGCAGGATCACCCAGAGAAAGGTATGCCCATGGGCATGACCACAATGGGTGAGCCCCCCTTTGTCAGTTCCCCAGTATTGGTGGCATCAGTGAATTTAAATCAGCACAGAAAAGGAGGCCAAAAATTGGACAGTGGCAGCAAATATAGGCCTAGATTTAACATTGTTGGATAAGCTTTTCACATGATTTAATATATTTGAATAAGCCTTTTAAAATGTTATAGTATTATGAAAAATAATGACATTTTGTAATATTTTGATATGTTTTGATATAGTGATATATTTTTAAACATGATATATTTTTATATGTTATATATATTTTTTAAATATATTTTAGATATGTTAATATTTTGAAAGAATATTTAAAAAAGTTTATTCAAAAATATTAAATTATTTGGATAATTTGGATAATTAGGGAGGCATGATTTTTTTATGTATAGATTCACATTTTAAAATGTATTAGCTTTAAGAAATTATATTGAGGTTTTGTTTTGGTTTTTTCATTAAGCAGCCACTCGTGGTGAAATTAAAACCAATTGGTAAAATATAGGTATAGCTGATTTTGCAAATTCTCCAACTAGCATTAGCCACTAAAGTCAACTTCAAATTGGCTTCCAAATTAATTGAAACTTTAAGTTCAAAATAGCTGACTTGAAAACATTACAATCCATTTTAGAAAATTCAGGTAAAATGTCAGGCTAGCCGAGTTGAAAAATGTAACCAAATCAGCTTTGTTTGACTCCATTTTGCCATTCTGTTATTAATTCAGTATAAGGCTTGCTTTGGTGTATAACCCTTTTTGAGTTCATTTTCTAATTTGCCTGTTTTATCCTTATGTCGTCAGTTCTATATTCAATCTGCAGCAGTTTGTGGTTTCACGTTATATTTTAATTGGGGTCAGATATTGAAAATATTAGACCCTTTCATATGAAATAAAACATAAACCAAGTGAAAAAGCAGGCCTCCCAACAGTACTGATTTTAGTGGGAAAAGAAAGAAAGAAAGATCAGAACAAAGAGATTGGGTCAAAAACGTAGAAAGCAGAAATGCATGGTTTTTAAAAATTCCCTGCCATTGTTCAAAGAGCTTATTATGAATGAAGAGAATGAAGAGACTCTTTTAACACAGTCCTGGTGATATGCTGGCATACACAAGGAAAAGCTGGTAATGATGTCTTTCAGCAAGAATACAGTCTCTCATCTGTTGTTTGGAGTGCGTTCCACTGTCAACTGCCGTTCTGCATTCCACCATGTAGTCTTGATCTCGGTCAGGACCGTAGTGATTGCCTTATGTGTGTTTCGTTAAACGGGGGTTCATAGGTTTCTCAATAGATAATTACTGTTTACTAGTTCCTGGTTTTGTTCCAAGTACAAGAGTCTGGGGTATTTTTATAATCTGTTTATAGTTACAGATATTACCAGTGACTCAGATTGAATCATTGGTCTATCCGAAAGGTAGTCAACCTTTGATTCTCCAGATGTTGTGGACTACATATTCCCTGATCCTTTGCTAGCATTATGGCTGTAAAATGTAGTTCACAACATCTGGATTTCCAAAGATTGCCTACCTCTGGTTCATCCATAAACTAGCTCTATCCTCCTGTCCCAACTTCATCATACCTTTTATATTTTGCCATGTGTGGTGCTGTGACTTTCATAGAAATGTGCACCTCTGTCTTTGAGAAAGCCTGTTTATCTGGTTAAATAGATAAAATACAGTCTAAGCGCTTTATATCACCGTCTTCTCCAAGAGTAAAATACAATGTGTAGCCTGTATACCTTATCAATGCAAGAAACAAAATGAAAAATAATGTACCATATCAGTACATGCATAAATATATCATCTCTTCTCTACGGACAGTATTTCTACTAAAATGGCTAATTTCCACTTTTTACATTATTTTTTATGCACGCTCAAAAAGATTCCAAATATAATTGTCACTTTTGACATTAGCAGCCAGGAGCTATTAGATTCTCCTCTTATTGTCAATAAAACAGTAAATGGTAAACATTTACACTTATACTAGTAGTAAATATCTAGGTAAAAAAAAAAAAGACAACAAAAGTTTGTGTGTTGATTACTTTTCAGATATTCCCATTTTATAATTATTAAGCACTGCAGAATGTGTTGGCACTATATAAATATTAATATTAATAATGAAAATAATCATCACATTCTATCATTGCCATGTGCTGTCAAACACATGTTATCTGATCATGACACAGGACATTATGGTGCCATACAAACTTTTTGCAAATTTGTCCTAAAGGTTGCAAGTTAGTTCACACATCAAAGCAACTTGCTGCTGATTGAATAGAACCTTTTGGAAAGTTTTCAAAGGATATTCTTTACATCTGCCATGAAGGCTGTTAAATGACAAT